AATGTCAAATTCTAAATCTATATTTTGTTTTAATCCCCACAGATATTATATTGCACTTATTCAGGAGGAGTTTTATATAAGTTCTAAGCTTGCTTCATGATAAATCTATTATGTTTAGAACTTGTATCTTGTTGACATGCATAAATTTAGGGGGAGCACATGATTTTATGTTTGATAAATTTATTGGTTAATTTATTGGCTTTTGTTCATTCATCAAAAAAGGGGGGGATTTTTTGGACTCAAAGGCGTCAATTTTATCTGGAGAAATTTTGATGATTTTTGCAAAAAACAAATAAAATTTAAATATTAATTTTATCTTGAGATTTTGATGATTTTGCAAAACAAATAAATTTAATATTCTTGTATGTGCTGAAATTTTATGCAGATTTTTGATATGGAAATTGCTAAAAAAGGCAAGTTCCTACAAATCCAAGATTCTTTGAAGACTATGAAGATTATTAAAGATTTTTTTAAGTGGCTAGTATCTTAAGGTATATTGTAGGATAGAGAGAATATTCTTTTATAAGCATAAATATTTTCCTCTCTCTCAAAATCATTTTTAAGATATTTTCGAAATATTCTCATTTGCCTATAAATAGGCATTGGGGTGTGTGTTAAAGGAGGATTCTTTTTGAAAACAAGGGGAAATTCTTGCATTTTGAAAAATCAACCAAAGAAATCTAAAAGCAACTTGTGTTAAACCTTGGATTTGAGTTGAAAACTTGTTGTTAATCAATCAAAAACCCTTGTAGACAATCTAGAATCCTAACAACACAAACCCTAATCTTGAATCTCGGAATGTTTGGATCAAGGACCAAGTGTTGGGTTTCCCTTCATACATTTTTTAGCAAATCGTCAAAGAAATTACAAAAGGTAGTCTTGAGAACCTTTAAACGGTTTCTTCATCTTTTTCTTTATTTTCAGTGTTTAAAACACCATTTCTGGGTCTGGTTGTGAGAAAAAACTAGGATCAACCAAACAGGAGTTTCTATACCTCTGTGGTACGAGGCCAACAGAAGTGGCGTGTGCCACTTCCTTGTGGTGCATGCCACAAGTGCGCAGAAACCACTTGTTCTTACCCAATAAACGTCCCAATTCGGTTATTCGATGGCCAAGATCCGACCAAAAAACTTCGTGATGCGTATTAGGTCATATATGGATCAAATAAGCAAATAAAACATGATTGAGAGCAATACTTGGTGGATTTGTTCTTCCTTCTTGATGAACATCAAGATCATGATCTCAAATCTTGTTAAAACCTTTAAATTTCTGCCATTTAATTATTATCTTTTACTTTACCAGCATTTTATTATTTCTATTATTTATTATTTCTGTCCTTTAAATTCTTGTTATTTAGTTTAATGTTCATTGTTATTGTGCTAACCCTTTATTTATTAATTTTGTATCATTTACATTCATCATATTAACCCTTTATTTATTAATTTTGTATCATTTACATTCATCATATTCATGCTTGTTGGATGATTGATTGTGTTGTGATCTTATAATTAATATATTATTCTGTGAATATTTGTTATTCTTTATGTTTGTTGTTTGTGGTTTGAATTTTCTTTTTTTGATTTAAGTTTTATTGCAAAATCTAAAGGGTCTATAAGGATTCCTATTAAAGCTTGTTTGTAATAGATAGATTAGGTATTGGGAAATTTGGAGAGTTTGAGGGTAGATTGTTATAAGTAGGGTGGTTTGTAATTGTTTTCTCCTCCTTCCCCTTCTTTGGATGGTTTACTTCATGTTGTATTGATGAAATTGAATGTATGTTTAACATGTTTTCCAAAAATGCATAAAAGGTTTTATAGCTCAATTTTTTAGTTAATTGCATTATTAAATTATTGTGAATTAATGGACAAATAGGAGGCTGGAGTCGGGCAAAATAGGTGCCAAACACCTTTTTATTTTGTACCTAACTCCCGGACCCTATCTCTTGTTTAAAACCGGATTAGTCGATTCCAAAGGTTCGATAATTTGAGAATTTTCCTTAATAAGGGTGGCGACTTTAAAATAAAACTCTTACCAAAGTAAGAGAACCTTTTTTTGAGTATTAAATGGGTTTAATAAAAAGAAAACTGTTTTATTAAATAAAATAAATCAAGCCCGTTCGATTATTCTTTTCCCAATCTTTTTGGAAAAAAAATCTAGTATCTTCAGCGCCTGGCGACTCCACTGTGGGATCGAACCCAGGAATTCTTTGGTTTTCGATTTTTGGGTTCGAAATAAGTGAGTTTGACTCAAAAGTTATCCAATTATTTCACAAAAGAGTTGACTCCAAAAGTTATCCAATTATTCACAATCTAATAACGTTATTAAACTTTAAAAACTGAGTTTACTTTTTGTATTTATAAATGTCATTCATGCATTTATTCTCTTCTTAATCTCCTTTCTACCCTAAACCCTAAAGGTCTCTACTCGACTGTTTGGATCCACAACTAATATACACCACCGATAAGTCAAATACCATTTAGTATATCTAAAGAATTGGCACAATCCGTTATCACCATTACACTTAGACCCAAAGCAAATGGGAGGAAACAATCAATTCTCGCTTATGGAACGCAAGACTTAATAAAGCTCGACCTAAGCACATGTAAATGACACTAGTTCCTTCCTTTAGGTTTACTTTAATAAGATTTGATTGTTGCATTCATCTAATAAATGCTAGAGACGTCGGTCCAAAACCCCATGATGGTTTATGGGCCCAACCTATATGTCCTAGGGTTTAGAAAAAGACCATACCTTGAATCGTGTGTGGGTGAAGACCATACCTTGAATCGTGTGTGGGTGATATAAGGGTGGAGGTCATGCATTTCCTTACTCCCTTTTCCCCCTTGTTTGTATATAATTGCTACGAATGTGCCGTGCTTCATTCATGTATCATTTAACTTATTGTCATGTAGCCATTTAGGCATATTCCATCATGGCTCGATCTCGACATACAAAGCACCAAAGGGCTAAAGACTTAAGAGAAGTGTTAGAGGCAAAATGAGCTAAAAGAGCTCTTTTCAATAGTGACTGTAAGGCCAAGGCCCAAACGCCTAAGAGGGAAGCTCCTTCCAACTCCGACGAAGGAAGACCAATTAGAAGAGCCTCATCAACTCTTGCTTGAAATAAAGCAAGTACAACTCGAAGTTATTACTATCTTCTAAGGTGTGGAGGCGCGATTCACGCTCATGCACAAATCGCCAACCGCCTTGTGGAAATTGGCACTTCACTCTGGAGGATGCAAAGCCATACCAAACTTCTTAGGCTTTAAGATTCAAAAATTGTAAATATTTAGTTAGGGCCTCAAAGAGATCTGTTAATATAAAAAGTTCACTTTTTGAGAAGTAATGAAAGAATCTATTTTGGAGCCAAACATTATTAATGCCAAAAAGAAAAGAAAAAAGAAAAAATCTCAATAGTATATAAATAAAGAATCCTGCTCAAGTATTATCATGCTTGAGGCAAAAAGTAAGGGATACAAAAAAAAAAAAAAAAAAAAAAAAAAAAAAATAAAAAAAAAAAGCAAAAAAAAAAAAAAAAAAAAAGCAAAAGAATAAGCAATAAGGTCATTATAAATGTTTGGTTATGAAATAGGGCACGTTTTGCTCCTAAACAGTTCTCGAGAACCTTTCTCCAATTTTGGATTTATGCAATCATGATAAAGCCACGATGGAATATAACATTATTCGCATTTCAAGATGTTGTGATTGTATGATCGCATTGTTGTATGCCATTTCATAAGCATGCATTCATGCATACATGCATCATGTCATGATTTCTAATACTCATTTTTTGCAGTCAAGATAGCACCGCATAAAGAGAAAGCATAAAAAATAGTCAATTGGTTGAGGACAGACAGCCGATTGATTAGAGTTGAAGAACCTTCAACCCCCTCTGATTTACCAAGCTCAGTGTCCTCCAGTCGTTCAAGCTCCCGCTTTGAGATTGAAAACTCTTTGGTTTGAGCAGATTCGCCAGTTTTAGTCTTTACTTCTGCTGATAAAATGGTTGAGCCAAGCATTCCCATTACTGAAATCGAAAAGATTGTTAAGAAAATAGTGGTGTCTAGTCTTGAGAAGCTCATGAGATCTAATAAGGGAAAAGAAAAGTGGTAGTCGAGGATGATAAAGAGGCCAAAGGAGAGTCTGAGAAAAAGGAGCTATGTAGATGACATTTGGCAAGATGATGAGTTTTTCAAGAAAATGTCTGCCAAGAAGGCTCAATCTGAGTTGGTCGTCTCAGAAAAGTTTGAGAAGCTGGATAAAAAGCTTGAGAAACTGCATGTGTATATAAAGTCCAAGAGGATGGACCAGTATGTCGACCTCGACGATGATGATGATAAGGAGTTAGAATTGAAGCAAGCTATCCCTGTGACCTACAAGATGCCAAAGGTGGCGAAGTATGATAACCACGATGACCCGAAGGTGCACCTCATGCAGTACAAGTCTATCATGGAGTTGGCGGGTATGCCATCAAGGGAAATTTTGAAGATGATCCCGATGTCCTTAATGGGGTCTGCCCAGACTTAGTATTACAATCTCGAGAAGAGAGTAAGAAGAGATTGGAACTAGCTTATTACGGTTTTCCTCAAGAAATACGCTTACAATCTCCAAATGAACGTCAATTTGAGAGATTTAGAAGCAACTGTGTAGAAAATTAACGAGACCTTCACTGATTTTATTGCTAGATGGAGAGCCAAGGTCACGCAAATGAGGAACCGTCCAGATACCAAGTTTTTAAGTGAGAGCTTCATCTAGAAAAGAGAGAAGCTTTTGTAAAGTGAACAAGTTTTATGGGCTTTTATAGCAAAAGAATAAGAAGATAAAGTGATAACTGGCTGCCACTATAACTCTAATGGCGCATGCCACTATGTGTGGCGCAAGCTGCTAGATAGCAGTCAGCTTCAGAATTTGTTGCTTTATTGTTTTTACTTCTCAAAATTCAGAAAACAATGTAATTATCAGCTATGAAGCACAAATACTTCAATATCACTCAAAGACATGTAAAGAAAATGGCCACTGTCCTTCATATAATAAATAGAATAATCATTCTTTATAAAAGCTGTTCCCCACACTGGGTCCAAGCACAAAAAGAACAAAAATTGAAAAGCAGAAAGCTCAGGCAGGCCTAAGACATGTTGGATTTGGTCTCCTCTTGAGTCCTCGCTACTGGACTCCTCGGACTCTTCAACGATAACTAGCCGACGTCCAGCTCCACAACCAGCATGACTGACATGCTGAGTTCCCCAACCTCGACTTGCTGGAGGTGCCATGCTAGCTCTCTACACACATTCATAGATATTAGTAGTTGCATTGCATGCATGCATGGCATATACATTGCATATTTTCTTTTGTGGCTATTTATACTTACAGAGACATGCTCGTGCAAAAGCCTTGCCATGGTAAGCTTGAGGCATGCCGCCTCGTACATTTGGCTAACCTCATTATAGTCAGCAATGGAAACATGCAGAGTAGCGTAGGGGCAGACGATGAGAAAACAGAATAATAAGGAGCAATAAGTAGAATGGAAGGACAAAGATCACTCATATGGGTGCAGCCAGGTAGAGTCATCCTATATGGACTCACTAGATATGTCTCCAGCATGCCCTGAGCGGGTTGACCGATGTGCTCTAAGATAAAAGAGAAGGATGCACCTGGTCCATGCTCTAGCTTGCCAACTACCACAGTTGTATTCGGAGCCCTAGAGTCAGAGCTTCCTCTCACGCGCTTGTTGCGCTGCTGTTGCTACAAGAATAACACACATCCAATGAACAAAAGAAAAATAGATATTGGGGCAAAGCCAAAAATAGAGTAACAAGAGTGTATAAAGTTCACCTGTATTTGGGCAATGTCATGTCCCCTATCTAACTCCTCCACCTCTGTAAATAGATCAAACTTAGCAGGAGGAGGGAGATGGACTAGGAGCTAGGTCCGTATAAAGATGGCATAAACGCAGCCAAGTGGTCCGTGGCCTGAGCAATTACAATTTCCTTGTCCATTCGGATGGATCTAATGGACAACATAAGATACAGCATGTCGTGAGGCACTCTCCTTCTGTCTAGGCCTAACTCCCACTCATACACCCTCTCACTGAGATAGTACATGTCATAGAATAAGCCAAGAAGGAGAAGCCGCCTCTATTGGTACACGATGGCAGCCTGAATGAAATCAGGGTAGTGAGCAACTTCACCCCATGGGAACCTCACTACTTGTAAAAAAAAGAAAAAAAAAAGAGAAGCAAAAGAAGAAGAAAAGAAGAAGACAAAAGAAAAAGAAAAGTTAAAAGAAAAGAAAAGAGCAAAAAAGCAAAAATAATGTGAAGCTGCAAGCTTACCCGATCCCAAGTCAGATCATTCAGAAGCTGCCGAAACATTGCGAGCTTTGATGTGGTGTATGCATACTTTCGACTAAACTTCCATGCCCGGCCTCAAGGGAGGGTCATCGCACTAGTATCAGCGTCAAAACCGTGTTACTTGACATCAGAAGGGCATGATACTTATGAGCCCAAATCTGTTACACAAATAGGGCAGAAATAAATAATGTAGAAAGCATTAAAAGGCATGGAAGAAGGAGAATAACCAAGATGTGATTTTATACCTCAATGGCTCGCCGATAGTCGACCTTCAGGTGCACTTCACGGACGCACAAGTCCATGCCGTAATAAAGATAGGACAAGGCAGCGGCACCCAAGTTAAACTGCCTAGTCACGTCTAGATCCTGTAGCGATGGTAGAAGTGCCAAATTTGCGTCGTTACCGTGATTAATGAATAAGGTCATTAACAGCAGATAAAACAAGAAAGCTCGAGCCACTATATCGACATCCATCACAGCTACACGATCTAGGGGCATGGCCTCATAATGGGAGATGATGCTCTCATACTAGACCCTCTTGTTGGAAATGTTAGGCTCCACGCCTATCGAAGCTCGAAGACTCTCACGCAGGCCACATCAATCCAGAGTCCTCAGCTGGTCATCAAATATGATGGACTGCCCTTCGAAAGGTAGTCCAGTAATAGTAGCAAAATCCACCGTGTGATTGTCATCTCGTCGAATAGTAGATGGAACGTATGAGTGGTGTCCATCCACTGCTTTATGAGCACCATGATGCTCGTTGGGACTATACGCCCTTACATCCGGGGTAGAGTGTCTACAAAACAGTCGAATCTCGCCTCCCAAACCGGGCCCTGAACTCAAGGAGGTAGCCAGTTGAACAACTAGGCCACCACATAAGTGTTGCCGCCCGACTTCCTACGCTTCATGTTCTTCTGTAAAAATAAACAACTGTAAGTATGCTAATAAAGTGCGAAGACACGTGCTATCATGTTTTCATGCAGGAAAATAGAAGAAAAGTGACCAAAATATCAAAGCAGGGTGTTTCACAACTACTGTGGCACCAGCCACTGAGTAGTGGCGCAAGGCATTACTCAAGTGGTGTGCGCCACTAGCGTTGTGGAGCACACCATAGAGCAGTAGAATAAAACCAGTTGCAGAGATGTGGCGCACGCCACAGCGACACGCTGTAGACTCAAAAACCCTGAAGTTACCCAAAGAGGTAAAATTCTAACTTATTTTGGTTTTCTAACCTAATGCTTACGTGTTTCAAGCCCCAAAAGACGTGGGATGACAAATCGTGTCGCATGTTAATTGTAATCCCTGTGTCCGGAATAAACTCCTGAAGCTTCATTCTGTGACTCATAAGTCGAGTAATAGGGTCGCTCACATCGTCACCCGACAGCCAGTCTACAACATTCTCAGCCGCCATGAGCTTTGGGTGCAAGAAGAAGCAAAGAGAGTTTGAAAGTAAGGTTGAAAGTGATAAATGAGTGTCACTTTCACCTTTTATAAGGAATAATGGGCCTCTGAGACTAAGCCTTGAATCCCAGTTTGGCCTGAAGACCCGCACGTTGCATCCAGCTCTCGTACTTAGCCGGTAACCCATCAACGGCTAGCCGCCTAAGCAGGGGCAACGCACTGCTGGCCACAAGTAAGTCACCTCGTTTTGCATTCTGCGACATAATTTCCTAAAAAATTCATATGAGCACACATGAATTCACACATTTTTATCACAAGTCATACACGCACGCTTTTCTTGGCCTAATCATAGAAATGTCTAATCATAATCGGCCGAAGAGTCTTTTCCCTTGTATAACGAGAATCATTGTACAGGTACTTCTCCCAAGCGAAGCATTTCAGAACCTAAGCCGTTTGAAGTGGCGCACCTCCGAAGTGGAGTTTTCTCAGTTAAGCCATCCGAAATGATACACCTCCCAAAATAGAGTTTTCCAGTTTAAGTCATCTGAAATGGTGTACCTCCTGCATTAGAGCTTTTCCAGTTTAAGCCGTCTAAAGTGGCGTACCTCCCAAAGTGGAGCATCTCAAAAATCGGGTCGACCGAAGTATCGTACTCATTCATCCATTAAAGTCGTCCAAAGTGGCGCACCTCCTGAAGTGGAGTTTCCCAATTTAAGCCGTCCGAAGTGGCACACGTCCTGAAGTGGAGCATTTAAAAATCCAGGTCGACCGAAGTGTCATACTCATTCATCCATTAAATCCGTCTGAAGTCGCACACCCCTAAAGCCGTCATGTATTGCATATCTCATTCTGCCTCTCACCATCCGAAGGTCCACCTCTCGAAGTGCAACATTTCAGAAATCGGGTCGACTGAAGTGTCATACTCATTCATCCATCGAAGCCACCTAAAGTGATGCACCCCTAAAGCCGTCCTATGTGGCGCATCTTATTCTGCCTCTCACCGTCCGAATGATAACCTCCCAAAGTGGAGCATTCTCAAACCAAAGCTGCCAACTAGCGCAAGATAGTCGCAGAAGTCACCGACAATCACCATGGAGCAATCCGTCCATCTATCAAATGTCTTAATGGTACTAGGTCGATCGAAGTATCCCCAATTAAAGCTGCCAACTGGCGCAAGATAGCCGCAGAAATTGCCAACAATCACCATGGCATAATCAGTCCATCTGTCAAATGCCGTAATGGTGCTAGGTTGATCGAAGTATCGCCAATAGAAGTCGCCAACTAGTGCAAGATAACAGCAGAAGTCACCGGCAGTCACTATAGCGCAATCCGTTCATCTGTCAAATGCAGTAATGGTATTGGGTTGATTGAAGTATCCCCACTTAAAGCCACCAACTGGCGCAAGATAGCCGCAAAAGTTACCGACAATCACCATGACACAATCCGTCCATTCCTCAAATGTCGTAATGGTATTAGGTCGATCGAAGTATCCCCAGTTGAAGCCACCAACTGGCAAAAGATAGCCGAAGAAACCGTCAACAATCACCATGGCGTAACTCGTTCGCCCTTCAAATCCGTAAAGGTACCGTAAGTCCCCTTGGGCAGGTTTTCAAATCCACAAAGCCGCCAAAATGGCGCATTTCATCCATCGAAGTCATGCATGCCACGGAAGTCAAGTAAGCATCTTCTTATTTACGCGTCTACTATACACTTTGATGACATTTTGCTTGAATAGCAAAATATTATCAAAGTGGGGACAAACTTATGTAAAAAATTGGTTTATCATCACTGAGCCTTTAGGGGAAAATTTTGAGCATCTACAGTCGCCTACCTTAGGATGTTAAAATGGGTTTAATAAAAAAATTGAATTTTATAAATTAAAATAAACCAAACCCATTTTTCCTCTAACTCCAAAGGACGCATCTTCAGTCTGGCGACTCCGTTTGGGATTGAACCCAGAATTTTGATTTTCTGATTTTTGGGTTCAAAATAGAAGTTGACGCTGATATTTGTCCTATCATTCACACTTTTAATATTGTTATTAACTCAAAATGGAGTTTAAATTTCTATATATATAATTGGCATTCATGCATTATTCTCTTCTTAATCTCCTTTCTACCCAAACTTCTAAAAGTGTTATTAGGGGATGTGTCCTTTCACTCTGCTCAACTGTTAGGATTCGCCACTAATACACACCACCAATAAGACTCGTACCTTTTGGTATATTAAAAGAAGTGGCACAATCTGTTATCACCATTGGTTTAGACCCAAAGTTAAATGCAAGGAAACAACCGATTGTCACTTACGTAACCTAAGACTTATTTAACCCGACCAAAGCTCATGTAATGACCTTAATTCCTTTCATTAGGTTTACCATAATAATTTATGATCTGTCATTCATCCAATAAATGCGAGAAATATTGGTCCAAAATCCCATGATGGTTTATGGGCCAACGACTTTGTCCTAGGTTTTTAGATAGACTTTTTACCATGAATCGTGTATGGGAAATATAAGGATGGAGGTCATGCACTTCCCAACTCCCGTACCGTTGATTGTACATATGTGTATGTCTTGCGATTTTCCTCATGCATCACGTAATTTGTTTCTTTTTGAGTCATATAGGAGTATTTTTATCACGTCTCGGTCCTATCGCTCAAAACATCAAAGAGGGAAAGACCTAAGAGAAGTGCTAGAATCAAAGCGAGCCAAGAGAGCTCTCTCAACTATTGACATTCATATCGAGGCCTCTCCATTATTGACATTCCTATCGAGGCCAAAACTCAAGTACCTAAAAGGGAAACTTATGAGGCCCCTCCTGGGTGCCATGGGAAAGATCCGAAGGATGGAGTCTAACTAGATGAGCCCATTAGTCGGCTACTCACAGAATGAGGGAAACTCCCTATGGTTCCTTTTGTTGATTACGGCTCAGCTTAATGCTTAGGTGGTCGAATTGGCTCTTTGGAGCACTTTGACGGTGTGTGATGTGTTATAGAGTCACCACCTTAATTTGTTTTTGTTTTCAAGGAAAATATAAGGTAAAAACCCCGTGTTTGGCTCTATTTTAGTTTGCCACAAGGATAAAATGATCTAGCCTCAAATCATTGGATTTGGGGACTAGGTTTTTGGCTTCTTCTGTAAATCAACAATTTGGGAATGAATCAAGTACTCAAAATAGTTTTGTGTGAATGACAGTTTTATTGGTGCATAAGCATACTTATAATGCATGGTAATATTAGAAAAATAGAGCATTAAAAGCATAATTTAAATGTAAAGGGTGTAATTCGGAGGGGAGCTAGACTCTAGCCTAGTTTATCGAAGATTTTAGGTCGTGCGACACATTCCTCTAGATCCCGATCGGTCTGTTCATTCGAGACCCGCTACCTGGGCTAAAATCCTAGATATGCCTTTGTACCTTGTTTGTATAAGGATCAGGACACATGAAGTTCAATCATCAATTAGGATGGTAGGCTTTTTAGAGCCACTCTTAGAATGGGCATATGAAGTACTGGACGGACCAGGTTTTGGGTTGAAAACTGGTTTTGCAATGTGTGCCGGACGGATCGGGCTTAAAGCATTTTGAGTGTCGAACGAACCGGGCTTTATAATTATAAAGTGTCCAAAGGACCAGGCTTGACAATTATAAACTAGTTTTGTAGTGTGTGTCGAACGGATTGGGCTTAACAATTATTAAGAAGAAAAGGAAAAGAGGTAAGGGTTTTATGGATTTGGTTCATAAATTGAGCTTAATAATCGAGTCTGCCTACTTATCCCATCGAATAAGAACCAAAACCAAGCATCTCTTCCCATTGTGAAATAAGGGTTTTTAGTTGTGGAAAAGTGTGTTTTTGTCAAAGGTTGGCTTTAGTCACCATTTTGCAAGAAACAATGTCATGTGATTGAAAAATGGCTTTAGTCACCATGTTTGCAAAAATGTGGCTTTAGTCGCCAAGTTCAAGAAATGGATCAGTTGGCTTTAGTTGCCCAAAGTTTTAGAAAGAGGCTTTGATGGCCTATTTTGTATAAAAATGGTTTATAGTGCTTTAGTTGCCTAATTTGTAAAATGGCTCATATGGTTTTAGTTGTCAAAAGTTTGGAAAAAGAAGAAGAAGAAGAAGAAGAAGAGAGATAAAGCGACATGCAAATAAAGTAAAGCAGCATGCAATTCCTTTACAAAATACAGGCAACAAGCAATCCTCAACATTCATCTATTTCAGGCATTTAAGTTATGTTCATGTTATCCAAAAGCTTAAAGTCTCACATTAAAGGCGATAATAACAGAGATGCAATAGTCATGAAGTTGTAAGATCATGCTCGAAATGTTAAGGTATAAGTGTTGTACCTGAGGCGTTTTTCTAAGTTTGAATAAGAAATGAACCTAAGCTAATTGAACATGCTTCTAAGTTAATCATGTTTTAAACTAAACTCTAGATCAATCATTCATCTTACTAATTCTAGGTGATTAATTAAATCTAAGTAATCATGTATCTAGTTCGAAGTTAAATTAATTAAGCTTTTAATCTAGCTAAGCACATAATTAAATTGGACCTTTAATTAAACCTAAATCTAATTAAGTGTAACCTAATTAGGCATTTAATTAAATCTAGGCTAAACCTAATTAAACATGCATATTCTAACATAATTAAGCATCTAATTTAATTAAAACATTAAAAGAGAAGGGAATGGGGCATTCCTCATAAAGCGTGCCTCATTAGATTGGGAGAGGTACTATTTTTCCATCACAAAGCGTCGATTTCGATTGTCAAGGTCGTTTCGAATCCTTGACTTAGAGAGTTCTTGAAGGAACTAAGAGAGTTCTCAAAAGAACTAGATGAAGGTTCTCTCCCTCTACTATGGTGATCAGAACCTCCTTCTCGGTCTCGATTAATGAACGAAGAACTTGTAAAAATAAGGTTACTTATATTGCTCAAGGTTAGAGACCAAGAATTTTGTATTAGAAAATAGGCTTTTAGAGGTGGGT